CGTTAGTTCAGCGAATGCGAACGGTGACAGGCTGCTTTCACTGTGTGCCACTCGCGGCCTGTCGATCACAAACACTCGGTTTGCACTGAGTGCGAGTGATGTAGCAATTTGGACGCACTTACGGAGTGGTCACGCTTACCTGCTCGACTATGTCATCGTACGTCAGCGTGAGATGCATGAAGTGCGCATTGCACGTGTACTACGTGGAGCTGAGTGTGGCACTGATCACAAATTGTTGCGGACCAAATCGTACATATATTTTCGTCAATCTATGCATTGCAAACCTACCGCGAACTGGCGGATATATAACGTTTTTCCCTAGGTGCTGTATAGTAGAGGATGGAGGTGAAGAGGGGGTGAAGGAGGGGTGTGATATCGAATGCATAGCCACGGTGGGCGACCTGTGGCACCAAATTTGCGACCAGGTGAGAGCTGCTGCTGAGGAGACCATCGGGCTCGCAAACTGTAAGCGGTCTGACTGGTTTTCGATGGGAACAATGCGACGGTTTGCGCGTTGGGGTCGAAGAAGAGTGCAGCATTTGCTGCACATGTGGCAGACCCAGTAACTTGGGGAAAAAGAGAAAGTTTGGGCGAATTCGACGCGACTGACCTGAGAGCTCCGTCGCATTAAAAGTGCATGGTGGACGGAGAAGGCGAAGCAGATGGAATGCTACGCCGAACGCCGCCAACACAATGAATTCTTTGACTCCTTGAAGGCGGTGTATCGACCGAAATTGACGCCACTGAGGACGCTGATCGATGGTAGTTCAGGCGCTACCTGTACACAGACTGCAGACCTAATGCAGATCTGGCAAAAACATTTTAAATCTCTCTCTTGAACAATCGTCTTGAGATCGATTGGCCTACTTTGAACGGCCTGAAGCAGCACGAGGTGAAGGCGAGTTTGGCGGACATGCCGAAAGTGGATAAGACGCAGAGAGCACTTGCTCAGCTACGAAACAGCAACTGTGCCGGTGCCGATGGGATTCTGCCTGAAGTATTGAAACACGGCGGACCCGCGTTGGTGACTGCGGTGCGCGGCATGGTGCAACGCGTTTGGGTTGAGGAGGAGGGGCCTCCTGAGCTGAAGGATGCCCTTGTGCTAGCACTCTACAAGGGTAAAGGTAGCAAGTAATGTTGCACGAATTATCGTGGCATTAACTGGCTGAGTTGTGTGGGCAAGGTGATTGTCCGAATCTTGCTCAACCGCCTCGTCAGTCAGGTTGTGGAGCCTAACGTGGCGGAAGAGGAGTGTGGATTCGGTTCGTGTCGCAGCACCATCGAATGATGTTTGCGGCTCGTCAGTTACAGGAGCAGTGTAGATAATGACACCAGCCGTTGTATTCGCTTTTTGTTTGTTTCAGCAAGGCATTTGATACAGTGAACCGCGGGACATTGTGGCTGGTTTTGGATAAGTTTGGTTGCCCGTATAAGTTTGTAACTTTACTTGCATATCTGTACAGTTGGTATGCGGGCTAGGGTGCATCTGATTGAACAGACCTCGGATGAATTTGCAGTTGTCTCTGGTGTGAAGCAAGGCGGTGTCTTAGATCCTGCCCTGTTTAATATATATCTTCATGCAATGTTGTCTTGTGCTTTATATGCGGCTTGTGCTTACTGTGTTCGTGTGGAGCACCGTATTGATGGTGGGTTGCTGAACATCCGTCGTTTCGGTGCGAGAACTCTAGTCTGTGAGACAACTATCCGTATGTTGCTGTTTGCTGACGACTGTGCGTTGTTTTCACACAACGCGGATGAGTTGCAGCACATGACTAGTGCTCTGGCTTCGACAGCGGCCAAATTCGGGCTCACCATCAATACAAGCAAAACTGTTTGTCTCCTTCAGCCATAGCCGGATGTGTAATCTGCAATGGTGCCGCGAATCAGCATTGGTGCTGTAGTATTAGAAACTACCTCCCGTCTCTGTTACCTCGGGAGTGTGATGTCGACTGATTAGCAAGTATACAGTGAGATGCGTATCCGTGTATGGAAGACAGCGGCGGTATTCGGGAAGCTAGAGTACTGAGTGTGGAACAACCATCAGCTTACTGTTGGCACCAAACTGTTGCTGTATAAATCCTTGTTGCTGTGTTCTTCTATACGGCACGACAGGTGGAGGATGTGCCAGCGAGACATATCTCGAGCGGTTTCATCAAGTGTCTGTGACGGATTCTGTGCATCGATTGGTGCAACATAGTTGCAGACACGGAGGTGCTGTGCCGAAGTGGAATGTATGCAGTGGACTGCATACCATTGCTGAGATACTTGAGCTGACTCGATCTTGTGTGCCGTATGTATTCGACGCGGACACCGACACAGCTATTATATGGTCAGCTGAGTGTTGGGAATCGTTATGTGGGGAAAGCAAAGCTTCGTTACCAGGACGTGATCAAAGTGAGCCTGTCACATTCTAATCTTGATTGCAGGTCATGGGAATCGGATGCAGCTGTCGAGGTGCAGAAGTAGACCTCATGCATACAAAGTGGATGCGGCAAGTGCGAAAGTGGGAGGCGCCGATGGGTTGTACGCCATCGACATCGAGCGCATGGTGCTGTAGCACATGCGGTTGCGAGTGCCTGAGTCAGGCAGGCCTAGTGAGCCATGAGCGATTCCACTCATGGCCAGCACCGAAACGACCACAGCTCCTGTGGAGAAGATAGGCAGAACCAGCGCAGCCTTTATAAATACGCTGCATTCGTTTTACTTACCGCTTGCTTGCATGCTGAGTCTCTTTATTTCAGGTGGTGGATTTTCTTTACTGTCTCCTTATTGCCTGGATGAACTATTTTCTATTAACTTGCACACCTCGCTCAAGTTAATTGTATTTAGCTTTGATATCATTTTCGTGTTTGTGGCATTTTCTTAAAATGTATTTTCTGACGTCTCGAACATAAAGCGGACTTTTTGACAATAATTTATTTCATATGCTCATATGTTGTGCCAAGTGCTGAGGCTGATGTTGCATTCATGATTCTTCCCCACTGCAGTTGGGCTAAACCAACTTAAACCACTTAAACTAGACCTTTCTAAGCTGGATAAGTTTCATTCCACTTTAATTGGTTTGTTCTGCCTACCTGAATAATCTTCTTTTAACTTGCACACGTTGCTTACGCTAATTGCGCTTATCTTCGTTAACTTTATTGCGTTTGTAGCATTTTTAAGTAACTTCTGGACATTTTTTACTTATCGCGGGTTCGCAGCGTACCAACTTACTTCATATGCGAATTTGTTAACAGTTATGTCTGCATAGCCGTATTCTTTAACAGATATATTTTATTTGATAATGTCATTTCAAGTGATTGGCTGTTGTTTGACATCCCCCGTGTGACTGCGCTTGATGTGCATGTTGACAAGGTGCCTACCTGTTTATTACCCGCTACCTCGTCCATCTGGCTCCAGGAGACAGTTGGTCATTGCTGAAGGGGACGGGGTGCACGGTCCTTGTGGCCGTGCTACGCTCGAAGAGTGGTTCCATGCACTCAGTGTGGAGCGGACCACGGTCCAGCCACCGTCTTGTGTGCGCTTGATTCCCCAAATACAGCGTGCTTGTGCTTGCCTGTGAAGGAGTGTGGGCCGGCTCCGTTGATGAGACGTGGCGCCCATCCACATGCCTCCCGGTCTTATTTCTTCGGGTTTACACTGGATATGGGGTGTGTGGGTGGTGCAGCGCAAGCGATCCATGGTCCCTCTGTAGGCGCAGGCGTCCTGTGGCTGGGCACAGTGACAGGTAAATGCGAAACCGGATGCTGCCAACCATATTTGTCTCTGGATTTTATTCCTCTATGAAGAAACTTCATCCATAGCCGATTTTCTGTGTTTGATCTTCATAATTCACTCGCTGATTAAATCACATTCTTTTCACTTACGTCTATTGGGATGAATGCTATTATCTGAATTCTTCACTGATAATCGGATTCTAGTGCATCCACTGATTATCACATTTGACAGGATTTTTCCCAAACGGGGCTTGTCGTAAATGCGACTTCTTCTCCGTGCGATTCATTGTCGCAACATCCTTTACCCCACTTATGCATCATGCAATTCAGACGACATAATTACCTCTATCCATCACTTCGATCTCACGCCGTATACAGACATTAGTGGGGGGAATGCCTTACAACTTCACGCGGTTGCGTGTGAGTTTCGGAGATACTACATGTCAACCCCCAAGGGGTGGATGGTGAGAACATTATTTTGTGTCCTGATTTTTCTGACTGTTTCTTATTACCTCGGACCGAATTTGAAGCGGAAACTCGTCGTCAAACAGTACTTCGATTGAGCTGATTGTTCTGGTTATTTCTATGTGTCTGTTATTTGAACAACTCAAACTTAAGTGGAACACGATCACATAATCGGTCAATTCTTACGACGAATCTGCCCATTCACCAAGGAGCACGATTGTATCAATAAACTTCGTCCTACCTGCCTTCGCACCTTGGTTTGGCGATTACCTTTTTGATGACCCTGCTCAGATCAGACACCTCTCAATTTGAGTGGGAGTTGGGCAAATACCGGAGCGAGACAACCACAATCAGAAACAGAAGGAAGATACCGTCAGCTGTTCCGCATGGTAAGTCGGTAGTTGGCGCCACATTCTAGACGAGAAACAGGTGGTGGCAACCCTAACGCGGTCGACAGGTCAGTGTACGTAGGACTGGCAGTTAATGGCATGGAACATTGGTTTGGGGAGTTTAGCGTGATTGCCGTCCGTTTGTACCCATAAGTGTGAGAAAGTCAGGACATTGGCCGAATGACTTTCTAAGTTGAATCAGTAAGTCCGCTGATATGTGCTTATTTGTCCAATTGAACATCCTCTAATGCACATGCATGATGCTGTCATCGGTAAGCTAACGTGTACCCAGGCAGAATTCGGATCGTAGTGATCATTGCAGTTTGGACATAATTGGCCTTGAACCATTGCGCTCACTGTTCAGCGAGGCATATTCGCTTTACTATCCCTTATTACGTCTACTTTCCCTATGCACCCTCTCACCCTTCAGGTATCAAACTTTGATCCTTTCTTGGACGATTGCTTAGAATTGGCTAAACGCGCCTCTCGTCTGAACGTTCCTGTCGATTTGCGCGTCCTAGATGATCTCCCCCATGCGTTTCTTAACTTCGCGCCCTTCGGTCCTGAGTTTCAGCATGCGAACAAAGTTTGCATGAATCTTTTAAAAACCCTATGTGAACAGAGGCCCGGAGAACAGCCTGGCAACCCCTGCCAATCAACGGCTGCAACAGATACTTACTCTTCTCTGGATGATGACAACGTATCGTAACTACCTCCGATCCTTGTTCTTACCATGTACACTAGATTTTACTATTCGCCACTTCCCGTTGCATCTGTCCAAACTCACACCATTTGCGCTAACCAAACGAAACAACATTTTATTTTTGCTGCTCTCATCCCTTCGGGGCCTTTATTCTTTCACTTTTGTATACTATCTTCTCCCCTAGATGTTACGGTCTTTCATTGTTAGAACTTGCAGCAACAGCAGTAGCTCTGCACACTCACCATACAATCTGTGATGTAAGACCACTCTTCCTTGTGTGTGAGTTCATTGCACTGCATAGTACCCACTACGTTCCGCCACATATTTTATCAACAATTAACCAATAAAGCGCCAGCGAAACATTGGAGTGTGTCATGTTTACGCTTCCGCCCTTTCAGTGCTCCTTGTTTAATTCGGCCAACACCACTGGCCTCATTGTAACCTCAGAAGCGGAGTTGCAAAACATTTGCTTGTCTGCCAGTCTGGAATGTTGCTACTGTGCATGTTAAAGGAGTGTGGGCCGGCTCCGTTGATGAAACGCGGCTCCCATCCACATGCCTCCGGATCTTATTTCTTCGGATTTACACTGGATATGGGGTGTATGCATGGGGAGCTGTGGGTGGTGCAGTGGCAAGCCACTCATGGTCCCTCTGTAGGCGCAGGCGTTCTGTAGCTGGCCACAGTGACAGGCAAATCCGAAACCGGATGTCGCCAACTATGGTTGAGTAGAGTATTGTACGTATCCTCGTGAGTACCCGCAGGTATGATGCTTGCACCGAAGCAGTATTACAATTGAAAGAAAGCGGTACTTATAAGTGACGCCAGGACACAAAGTTTTAAGACTGGACCGTTCCGATCGTCTCCTGTCCGATGTACGTTTGAATTTCCGAAGAACGTATGTTGCTCAGCCTGAAGCATTGACAGGGGATACCATCACACATTCGCTGATGGCCTCTTTGATGCGACCACAGCAATAACACATCAGATAAGTCCCGCTCCTCACTGTCAAACATTTGGATGTCGATAAAAATGTTCAGTAAATTTCCAAGAAACAGCATGGCTATCACACAAGTTCTATTACCCGGCCGTTTGCAGATGTAGGTGTGTACTAGGTTTTGGCAATAAGCTATTTGATGATTATCTGTCATCGTACTCTGATGCAGCGATTCGGCGTTCCTAATCAGTTGTTGCTGTGCACTACTCCTTTCCGATGAAGTATAGTAAGGCAGTACCATCACAGTTAGCCTTTTCTTCTTCTAAGTCTACTCGGAAGATTGGCCATGTCTGATTCAACTTTTATCAGACGCCTCTAACGTCGATAGTAGCTGTCTTTGCATAAGCGCAGCTAAGTTCACTATGACAGGTGAGCAGCGGGAACTACTATAGCTATGCTCACGACTAACAATGTGGTACAGAACGTGAAGTATCAACATCATGATAATCGCTAGTCAGTTGTTCACTGTTCAAGGCTTTTCCAGGGCGATTTTTCCTGGGATGCATGGTCCAACGTGGCCACACGAAGGGAAGTCGTCGAGCCTTGTTCACCAAATGTCAACCTTTACATCATGGGAGGAATCGCTGTTTAATGGCTACTGTAAGCGGCTAAGCGCTTGAAGGTTTTGATTCACGCATATGCACCGGACTCAAAACAACTAAGCTGAAACTGGATGATACCGTCAGTTGTTCCGCATACTAAGTCGGGAGTTGGCGATTCCAGCATAGATCCATACCATCACTTGGAAGACCGCGAAATGGCTTCAACTGACACACACGCTTAATGCGAATGTGCTGATGGATGGACTGAAACTTTATCCGGCGTTGCACTTTCTCTCTACACGTCGTGCTAATATTGGGCAGCTGGTCGAGATATGGTCATTTGATCTGCAAATCAATGTCCAGGAGCGGAATCTGAGTAGAAACGAGCTAGAGGCAACCTCTCATTGTCTGGTAAACGATACCATGGCGCTCACAATGTTCTGTGAGTCACGGACGAATAGTAGTAAGTGTAAGATACCGTAGCCCATCGTCTCACCACACCACCCTACTAGAGTCAACTTGAGGAGGTAGTAAGTGCAACACAGGTCACGAAGAGTAGAAAAGGGTAGTGGGCAACAAGTGAAGTAATTACGAAATACAACCCAACCAAATAATTCCAATAAGAGGTAAGTTAGATGTGGATCCTACATCCTAGACGGGTGCGATACAGCTTCTGCATGGCACCGTTAGTGATTAATCATTCTAGAGTGAAACGGTACCCAAACGACTTGCGTTATCGATAGCATATCGATGACAGTGATGGAGTTAGCAACTTTAGTAAGTTAGCAAAATGATGGTGCGCTTCGGTTAACTAGTGCAAAGAGCATTGGTTTTCATGTGCTCAGCTAAAATAAACTCGGCGGATGAAGAACGGGAGATATACAAATTCTCGAATTGGGCTTCGAACCAACTGAGATTTCACGATTTCAGGTTTTAAATACAAATCGGTTTTTCTAGGTCAATCGGTACACAATTGGCTTAGCTTTTTATGAGAAAGCAGCATGAAGATCGCAAAAAATAACACGGATGATTGGGTAATAATGTTACCAGTGGCCATTCTGTAGTGTAAAAACAAGCATCGAACCTTCCTCATTGATCCGCGTCACCGGCTGTTCACATGTGAGGCATTTCTGTTCCTGCTGCTGCTGATTCACGCTCCGACCTGAGTTCGTCCGCCCCGAATACAGCACCCTACTAATAAAATCAGCGGGAGCCGTACCCGCACTATACCATTTGTCACTTGTTAACATCCTTAACGCAGTCCCTTGCATCCTTAGTGCATCAGCTACCACCCGTAGTGCAGCAGCTATCATCCGATACTCACCGACTTGCATCCACCATTGTATTGCGTAGGCAACGGCTAGCAGCCAATAGGATTCGGCATAGCGTAGAGACTAAACACACATACGACGAAGAATGCTCACGCTTGGGATGGTCGTAGGAAAACTGTTAGACTTGAGTGAGACCAGCGTGGTCCGACTCTGGTGGACAGCAATTGAGACCTTACTAAACAGACCTCAGCCGGTGCACTGTGTCGCGCGCGCTCTCACTGGTCAGTGGGGGTGTCTGGACATGTGCTGGAGCGCGCAGGCGAATCGAAGCCAGCAGAGTCCCTGAGGGAAAGGGAACGCAGTTGCGCAGGAACATGTCCGGAACACCGGGTTCAAACCTGAAGTGGGTAGGGGGGCGTAGTCAAGGTTCTTGTGTAAACGAGCAAAGGAGATATCTGTTTGAGGCTAGGCCGCAGCTGATGCACGGAATACCATAGTGAACAATGCTGGCTTGGTACTGCAAAGTGCTCTATGTAAGAAGCACAAACAGGGCCTCAGGCTACTTCGATCGGATTGTTAAGTCCGCAATACAATCTACTGTTTGGTCTCGAAGTCAAGTTGTCAGTAACATAAGGAGCGAAACGATATCCGTCGCAACGGAATGGATACAAATCGCTCCTCGTAACTTTATGCAATGAAATATCATTAAAAAAGCATTCTGACGCATCCTCAGATATAAGCTGTACATGGGGTAGAAGATAATCATATTTCAACCAGTTCGCCCCCATACGAGCCACGCAGGTCAACTCTGGTCGCGATAGACAGAACAGCTCCCGTGCGGAATGATATAATCACCATTGTAGTGGTGGTTTAGGCATGTGACATATGTTTGGTTGCTACCTTGCAAATTCCTTACAAATGAGATGTTAGACCGTATACTACATTACTTTTCTCCTCGTTCCTCAAGTACGCAAACCTGCAATATTTCGTCGCGAAGGGATTAGATTACAAGCAGCTGTTGTACTACGGTTCTCCAGAACATGGGGTATACTCAGTGGTTTGGTGCGGATGAAAAAACTTGCGATTAACATGTCCCACAAGGTGTTGAGTCGAGTTCTCCAACGGAAGGAAAAACAACTATAAACGAAAAGTGCAGAAAGCAGTGAACCTGCCGAACAAAGTTTTGTCCGCCTGCGTCGTTCATAAGTGATTTAGTGCAGCTGTCACTGCTTTCGATTTCCCCAGAGAAGCGGGTGTGGGTTTGATACGGTTTTGTTTTCTGAATGTGAGTATGCCCGGTACTAATGACACCAATGCAAATTCCTAACCGAACACGGATAAACGATTAACGGACCAGACACAACTGTTGATGATTCACAACCAAATGTTTTTTGACTTCGTAATTCGATAGAGTTGTACAGAAACCTTTCTACTTTCTCTTAAATAGTCTCAGTCAGGTGTGTCGTACTTTGGTGTAACGCGAATAACTCGTTGTCGACACGGGTTTGAACACAGTGAAGGTTGACGCTGAACTAACAGGTTTCAGTAGTGAATTGCATACGTGGCAAACAGGTATGGAGAAATTCCGTATACTATCCAATCGGCGGCCAGTTTGCGTCGTGGCCTCGCAGTCTGTTGTTATGACTGAGTTTTATCAGCTGATACTTCGTGTGATTAGGGTGATCATGATTAGGTACCCGCGCATATGCCGATAGGGTTCTCTGAAGACTCCTAAAGTACTTAGGCGCTGTTCGTAAGGTCAGTTGCATTGTCCTTTGATGTAATTGTTTACCCGATGTTGGGAAGTTTCCAAGACCGTGAGATCATACTCCAGCCAATTTTTGAAGCGCATATTCCGCTTGCAAGTGTGTGCATTCAGAAAGCATCTTTAAAAAAATGGCTGGGTCCAAATGACCAAAAGCCCTTTTTTAGTGCTAGCACAAATCGCTCGGACCATCTTAGATTTTCCTGAATTAGTACACCGATATCTTTTTCCCGAGGATAGTGCTGGCGATCATTGTTGCCAAACTTATAAAGCATTTGGTGTTGTGGATGGAGTGCCCCACATTTACTAACGATGAACTGAAGACGATTTTGGACTGATGAGCCATACTCCTTGGCGACGTCATTTTGAAATTGCACACACTCTGTTAAAGCTATGAGCCACTGCCGAGGATCTATGTCGTCTCCGTAAAGCAAATAATGTGAAGTGATTATGTCAGATTGTCACTTCAACCTACAGTTACAGCCCTAACGCGCGTTCTATTCGGTTTGTCTTAGTCGTTTATATGTTATATTTAGCTTGGTGAATCAGGGAAAACGGACTTTTTACTACACTGACTTCATTATTGGAACGGGAATTAATCACCAGCTGCAAATCCGGAACATCGGGGCTCCTTGTGACATATCGTATCCCAAGTGTATTGGAGTTAATACTGAGAATCTCATAATTTCACTTCCAGACGTGTGTACAAATTGAAGTTGCTGATACCCTGTGGGAGGGGATTACTAATGCGTACCCACAATGGTTACCTAGGAGGCCGCGACGGTTCAACTGCTGGCATGCCCTAGGGAAGTCGATGTAGACAACATCAAATTGTACACCAACACCCACTGTTTCCATCCAACTGTCCCATGCTAACAGTGTATGGGTAGTAGTGCACGCTGAGTTCTGGCGGAAGCAATGTTACTCTTGCGAGATGTAGTCAACTTAATCAAGGTATGACATGAGTAGGCTGGACAGATGGTCGG